GGGGGTGGGAACCACATACAGGGTGCGGGGGTGGCTCTGCTCGCTCCCTGGAGAGCCAGGGAAGGGAATGAGGCATGAGCTGCTTTTCCAGAAGAGCCTTTCTCCCCCTTGGAAACCTATTTGGAATTTCGGTCAATGGCTTTAGGCGTTGACACCAACAATAAGCTCAATTATTCATAATCTGGTGATCTGTTTGGTGCATTTATCGTGGTGACCTGGATCCATTGCCCCCCACCCAGTGGGGTAAGGCTGGGTGTTGATTCTGAGTCTCGTGTGTGTTGTGTGGTGTGTGTGTGCGTGTAAGCCAAGGCCTAACTCAGTCAATATGTGGGGGTAACCTCTGCCTGGCCTTCATTAGCACAAAGTTGGCTATTACAAGCGTCTGGGTGGGTGGGGAGCTGATAAACTCTCCCTGTCGGTAGGCCCCACATTTGCACTATGGACCAGAAGGAAGGCCAGCTTGTCTCTTGCACTGGGTTGTCCTACACCCTGTCTGGCTGTGGTGGTGGTGGGTGGAGTGTTTGTAACTGTGTTGCTATAAGTGCTTCAGCAGGTGATGCTGAGCTTCTTTAAATTCCCTGGGGGCATCTATGGGCTGGCGTCTGAAGCCACCAGGACCAGCAAGGAGGAGCTGGGTCGAGGAGTAATGTGATTGCCCTGGGACTGTGAGGACTGGCTATGGAATGTGTGCATATGGGCGAACTGAGGCAAGACTCTCTCCAAGTCTTTGAGCACTGCATGGTTCTTTGGTGAAATGCTGCCCCCAGAAGGTGTTTGTAAGCTGTCAAGTAGTCCTGCTGCCAAATGTTTACCATGTGGCTTGGGAAGGCTCTCAGCATGTATTAGCATGTGTCCAATCACAGCTAAAATTTACAGAGCAGTTTCCGTGCGCCAGGTGTTCTAAATATGTGATGTGTGCAGAAGAGGCAGGGAGGTGTGGTGGTTAGGGGCACCCACTCTGCAACCAGACTGCCCGGTGGGCATCCTGGCTTCACCAGTTACCAGCTGAGTGACTGTGGACAAGTTACTTTGCCCCGTAGAGCCTCCAATTTCTCATCTGTGAAATGGGGGTGATAGTGGCACCTGCAGATGCGGTGAGCCATATGTGTGATGTGTTCCAGGCTATGCCTGGCACATGCCCAGTGCTCACTCTGTTTCAGCTCTGATCTCATTAAATCCTGGTGACAACTGGTGGAGACTGTTAGCCTCCGTTTATTACTGAGGAGACTGAGGCGGAGAAACTAGCCAAATCCACACAGCTAATGAGTGGGGGACACAGGGACCCAGGTCTGCATCTAAAGCCCCCATGTTCACCAACTGCCTCGTGGGTCTGAAGCCTGTGCTTTGACCTGAAGCTAGGGAAAAAGATGGCCTGAGGCCAGGTGGGGGCCTTTTGTGTAAAAATAACCAATATTTATTGAGCACCACGTACTATTCTTAAACAACAACAACAACAACCCCCGCCCCCAAACTCACTCCTAAACATTTACTTCAATGGGGTGAAACATGAGTCTCCCTCCCCACTGCCCTCCAGCAGCCCCTCTGGTGGTAACCAGTTTTCTTTGTTTCTTTATAGAAATAGTTTATGTATGTTCCCAAGGAATCAGAACACCCAATGAGCTAGGTACTATTACTATTCCCATTTTACAGATGGGGAACCTGAGGCACAGCAGCCAGACTGCAGACCTGAGTCCCTTTAGGCTCCAGAATACTGGCTTCACTACTGCCACCCTTCCAATCATTTCCTCTCAACATGTTTAGGTCGGAACGATGCTTCTAAAGATGGAAAACTACCTCTCTGGGGCCAGTCCCCTCCCCTCCCCCAGCTTTCAGCGGGAGAGGCCTTTGTGTGTGTGTAAGGGGGTGGCATGGGGGTAGTTATTAGAGGCTCCAGGTCTGAAGTTAGATGTTCTCAAGGTGGGATGGAAAAGTTATTGACTGGATGCCAGTGGTTCGGATCTTTGTTCTGGCTCTGACACCCACCAGGCTCAGCAGAAGCCAGGTCACTTGCATCTCTGTTACCTCATCTGTAAAAAAGGAGAGGGGATCCCTGCCAGGGAGGGGACTTCTCAGGATCACCTTCCTCACCAGATCCCTGGGCTGCCATTGGTGGAATGGGGGAGCATGACAGGTGGAGTTTAGCAGTCCCAGGTTGACAACTGGGACACACCCTCTTTGGGCCAACCCAAGTAAACCCCTGGGTGTGTCTGAGGTCTACTATCTAATGTCTAATGAGAACCCAGTGTGGATGTGAAAAGTCATATACACCTACTTCCAATCTTTTTATTTGGCTTTAACTTTTTTATTGCTGACACTATTGCAGATGTCCCCCATTTTCTCCCATTTGCCCACCTCCACCCAGCACCCCCCCCTTGACCCTCACCACACTGTCTGTGTTTATGGGTTATGCATAAATGTTCTTCAGCTAACCCCTTCGCCTTCCTTTTTTCAGTCCTCCCCATCCTCCTCCCCTCTGACATTTGTCAGTCTGCTCCATGCCTCCAGGCCTCTGGTTCTATTTTGTTCATCAGTTTGTTTGGTTCATTAGAGTCCACATATTAGTGAGATCATATGGTATTTGTCTTTCTCTGCCTGGCTTATTTCACTCAGCATAATAATTTCCAGGTCCATCCATGCTGTCGCAAAGGGTAAGAGATCCTTCTTTTTTACAGCCAAGTAGTATTCCATGGTGTGAATGTCCCACAGCTTTTCTGTCCACTCCTCTACTGATGGGCACTTGGGCTCTTCCAGATCTTAGCTATTGTGAATTGTGCTGCAATGAACATAGGGGTGCATAAGTTCTTTTCTGATTGGTGTTTCGGGGTTCTTAGGATATATTCCCAGAAGTGGGGTCACTGGGTTAAATGGCAGCTCCATTTTTAACTTTTTGAGGAAACTCCACACTGCTTTCCATAGTGGCTGCCCCAGTCTGCATTCCCACGCCTACTTCCAATCTTTGTTTCCTTGCCAGCAAGCCAAGCTCTGAGCCTCAAATTGCTCATTTGTAAGATAATAATATTTCCCAAAATGCTAACTTAATAAAAGTATTGTTACTGGCAGTAATAAGTAATTACCATTGTCCCAGATATTAAGTGCTTTCCGTGACTTGTTTCAGTGAACCCTCACAACAGACAGATGAATTAGATGCTCTTCTTACCCCATTTTCTGGGTGTGGAATATGAGGGGCTGAGAGGTGAAATAAGTAGTAGACTGGGTTCAAACCCTGTACTCAACTACTATCACTGAGAGCACATGAGGGAAACACAAATGTCTGTCTACATAGCCCGGAATGACCAATGCCACCAGTGGTGATGAAGGCCAGCCCCCTCTGTGATGGCCCATTTCCTCTGCCTTAGGGCTTGGGCGGCAAGCAGTTCCCTGCTCTACAGCTCTCTGGGTTGGGGTGAAGGGATAGGTGTATTGCTGGAGAAAGGAGATCCCGAGGCTCCACATCAGAATATCAGACTCAGACATGCAGTCCCCTTTATGTCTCCAAAAACTGCTGGGATTGGCATTCTGGAAGCCTCTGCCAGACATCAGCTCTGGGGAAGAGGAAATGGGTTTTCAGACTGACTTTATTTCCTCTATGAGGCCACTGGTTCCAAGAATGATAAGATCAGGTATATATGTACATTCACTTGTTTGTTTACTGTATTCTTTTTTAATGTTTTTA